GAGGAGTAACAATAATCTGAATGACACACGTGTTCTGAAACTGAGCAAACACGTCACCAACCGCAGGACTGACCTCTGACCTCGTTACATCATGAATCACCTGACCCAGCACGCCGTTTCTCTTACACGGCTCGTTTTTTTGTGACTCATTTAGTAAAATGTATGTTTTTAAAAGTATTCACAGACCTCTCTCTGTCATCTGTGACAGCGGCGTTTCTGAGTGCGAGCTACATTCATATGTTCTAAAGATGGCGCCGCCGCGTGGATCACTGTCGACTCCTCGTGCGGCTCTAGACCACTCCCAACATGGCGGCCGTGTTTAAATGACAGATGTTGTGGTGACCTCAGAGAGCGCTCTCACCTCGCAGCGATCGCAGAGCGGCCCGGTGACTCCGGGCTTGCAGCGGCACCGTCCGCCGCGCGGGTCACATGACTCGGTTCCACACGGCGAGCAGTCACACTCTGCATTACAAAGCACACACACGCTGAATCCACCTGCAGCCTGCACTGCCAAACCTGATCACGTGACCGCAGGACGCCGAACTCACGGGTGCAGTTTTTGGCGTTAATGGCGTCGCCGTAGTAACCGGGGGCACAGCTCTCGCAGCGCGGCCCGGCCGTGTTGTGCATGCAGCTGAGGCAGTGTCCCGTCAGCGGGTGGCAGTCGGTGAACAGCATGTTGGGGTCCGAGTTCCCGCTGCAATCGCACGTCTGACACCGGCTGCCCAGAACCACCGGGTTGCCATAGAAACCTGGGGCACACCTGTGAGAGGCAGGTGAAGCATTTCTAACTGAAATGGATACACAGCGTGTGGCGTTTTCCTTCCTACCAGCACATCATTCGTTTGTATTTAACTTTATTATTCAAACAAGATTTTTTATTTATGAATGTCTGAGAACGTTTCAGGGTGATCTCAGCACCATCACTTCATCCTCTGTCTGAAACAGGCTGTTTAAGCTCCTCCCCCTGCAGACAAACATTTTTTCTGATTGGCCCTCTTACATGGGCGGAGCTCCTGAACCCTGAGTCTATGGAGACGAGGTCGCCCGCTGACCTCACTGTGAGCAGCAGGAGTACGGACGTCTGGAGCGCGGCTCCACTCGTTTACCTTTCGCAGTTCGGTCCGGCGTAGCCGGGCATACAGCGACACTGCATGCTGTCACCTCTCTGCACGCAGCCCTCCGCAAAACTACAGACAGACAGGAAGAAGAGTGAAAAACTACAAATCAGGACAGCATCAAAGCACGTGGGAGACGCTTAGTTTGAAAAACAGGAAATGTTACTTGTGGCGTTCCTCAGGGCAGCAATGTGGGGCCTTTAACATTTTCAGCTTCCACATTTACTGATGACTAAACACTAAATGTGGCTGAATCATTGAACCTTAAATTCATGCTAAATTCCCAGTATTCCCAACAAACATGCAGGAATCGGCTGAGGCAGAGGGAGTGGAGGTACTGACTTGTTGGATGGAGCTCTCAGCGGGCAGGGGCAGCTGGAGCACGTCACGGCCTGACCATCCACGCTGTTGTTACCTAGGAACCCCCCCTGGCACGTCTCACAGTGGTCGCCGGCCGTGTTGTGCCGGCAGTTCTGACGGACAGACAGAGACGAGAATGGTTAGAGATCCGTGACATCAGAGCGAGAGGACGTCAGGAGGCAGCGTGCAGTCCGAGCTCCTCACCACACAGATCCCAGATCCGTCCAAACACTGGTCCGAGTGTCCGTTACAGCTACAGGGAACGCACTTCCCCAGGAACAGGCCGATGGTGTCTCGGTAGTACCCCGGAGCACATTTCTGCA